GCCTACTTTATTCGTTTAACATTTGTTCCAATTTAACGCATGATTTATTGTACAACACTTTAATAACAACAATTGAATTGGACAACAATAACAATTAAATTTGTTATATATATATTTTTAAATAGGATTTGGTTAGAAGTTGAGTTACGGTTAGGGTTAGGTTAGGGTCACAATGCATGTGAATGCACCAGAAACACAGGCAGTATTGAGCGCACGTGATGTATCAACCAATGGCAAGCGCTCGCTAAGACCCTATGTCTTGATTACTAGGAAAAAATACACGCGCGGCGCGCCAGCGTTATATGGTTGCAATAAGATTCGGCAAATGTATAGGAAACTGTTGGCAATAATAGGTGAAAGAGAGAAAATATAGAAACATTAAGCATTTGTAGTAATAGATCGTGATTATGTAGCATTATGATTTTATTGAAACGCTTCAGTGCCTGTGCCTGTGGATGTGTGCCTGGTGCTGCCTGTGCCTCGCTCACCTATTATTGCCGACAGTTTCCTATAAATTTTGTTCAAATCCTCGTGCCAACCATATACGCTGACCGCGGCCATTGCTCTCGCGGCGTTCACTGTTGCCACGCTTACAATATTTAATATATATATACAGCGTGAGAAAAACCTAGCGCGTCGCGCCCAGTCGCCAGTGGCGATTAGAAAAATCTACGGCGACTCGCTTGCTTTTTTTTTTTTTCTTTTTTTTTTTTTTTTTTTTTTTTTTTTTTTTTTTTTTTTTTTCTTTTTTTTTTGTCTTTCGTTTTTTTTTTTTTTTTTTTTTTTTTTTTTTTTTTTTTTTTTTTTTTTTTTTTTTTTTTTTTTTTTTTTTTTTTGTTTTTTTTTTTCTTTTTTTTTTTTGTTGTCTTTTTTTTTTTTTTTTTTTGTTTTTTTTTTTTTTTTCTGTCAGCTAGGTCCGGTGAGGCGACTAGATAATCGCCGCACAGCCAGCCCGAAAAATTACAGACTGTAACGGGGCGCATAATACGCACCGTTCCTCAACGTAGACGGGTATCCAGAACTTCTAGGAGCTGCATGAACTCCTCAAACATAATTCGCCACACGAACAAAATCCCGCGACGGTCTAAGAAATCGATGGCGGCCGAGCATTTAGTTTTTACAATATAGTTTTTATATCGCAGGGTTATCGTGGGGAGTGAGGGCACGACCAGTGACATGACAACGCACGTAATCCAAGCTGTAAACTGATTCGCACTTTTCAGTGTGGACTATTGGAAAGTGGAATGTGGAATAGTGGATTTTTTATTCATTAGATATCTAGAAGCAATGTAAACTCTAGTATATACTTAACAGATTCTAGGCACTTGTAGCTTTCGCAGATATGCGGCAGCATTGACTATGCATGGGTGTTAAATTGGACTGGGAGGAGAAAATACGAAAGTAAACCTATACCCAGAGCTCCCGACATTCCGAGATTCCAGTACACGTTTTATTTTAACATACTCAAAGTAACTAAAACTATGTGTACTGTCTGTATGCATGTCTGTGTGAATTAATTGAATAAGAATGCTGATTGTTCGGTCGAGTGAATGACATTAAAAAATGTGACGCAATGTATTTGTTAGACGATTTCTAACACCTGATAGTCTGATACTGGTGCGAGTGCTGAAATCTAGCTGATGAATGATATTAGAGGTCAATGCATTCAAAATTATGAAGAATTTTAACAAATATCATGGTATGCAAAAGTAGCTTGGCCAAGCTAAAATAGCTCCGTAAAAAAATACGAGAGCTCTTTTTTATACAAATATCAAAAGACCTCTCGTAAAAAAAAGTAATTTGTAGGCTGCCCACACGAAATAAAAAATTACCAAACTTGATTATTTTGTTATTCTCTACTAACTTCGTACATTAATTTCTATGAAATTATGTAAGATTTAATCAAATATAAGACGAAAAATAGTCAAATTCGAAGCCTAAAGTCCATGCGAAGGACACCAAACCTCTCCATCGTGTGTCGATTTTCTAGGTCATGCTGTTAAACTCTGCTAATTCATAATATACTGGATCGACCATCAGCAATCGCGTAATAAAATATGATAATTTATAGGAATAATGGCGTCTCAGAGACCGCTGATTCTTTAAATCGACTGGACTTGTTCCGAATTGCACGGCATCAGTGTTACTGCTATCCAAAAGCGATGGGAAAAATATAATTTTAAGATACCTTAGATGCACATGGGGGGAAACTCACCAAAATTGCCCACCAGTCCCCCCATATAAAAAGGTCCACATTCGAGTCATTCACTTTGCTACGACAAAATCCTGGACCAGCTGCCTACTGACAAACCAGTGCTTCACCCCCCCACCCCCTCAGAGGCACTGGTCCTGCAGGACCAGTAGCTCAATTATCGTTTTTTCACCGGTGATATATATAGTTACTAGTAATAGTAATAGATATATATATATAGACGTGTAGGCGTGCACAGTGCCGCCGACAAGAGAAAATGGCGCGGCAGCGTATATGGTTGCACGTAGGATTTGGACGGACATTTACAGAAAAACTGCGGCAAAAACCTAATAGGGAAAGAGAGTATAGAAACATTAAGAATTTTGGTAGTAAATTAGATTTCGTATTAGTTAGGCGTGCCCCTAATCCCACCTAACCCTACCCTAACCTAACGGGTTAGCCGCGCCCGCGAATACAATCAAACATAGCAAGCTTGAGTACACACAGTAAGGGGGCGGCGGTAGGGGGGTTTGAGTCGGGCGAATCACAGAGAGTTAGCTAAGACATGTGTTATAGGATCTAGAATTTTGAAATGTAACAACAATCTCTTCGGAGATATTATAGTTAGCAACACTATCTCGGCCATAGCCGACGTATATGTTAGCTTGAGCGATACGTGCGATATTTTTTGGTAATTAAGTTAAACTATTTGTGCTTTAATAATCAAATTCAACTGCAGACACAACTAAGACATGTGTTTAATATGTATCTTAGAATTTTTAGAAAATGTACTCATCGTTCGCGAGTGATTA